AAACATTTGAACTAAGAATGATAATTCTATTTGAAACAAAAGAGAACGGCCTTAACTTGGACCTGGGATTCCTCACTCATATCCAACAGTTTTATGACTATCTATTAGCTAGCTTGACCCCCTCTGTGTGAGTGTAGTATCCCCCCCTCCCCCCCTCGCTTTTGATGTATCTTATCTGTAGCCTTTTTTTTTGTTTTGTTTTGTTTTGTTTTTTTCCTCAATCCCTTCTAACATTCTGCCTAAACTTTGTGATTTGTAATAGTACTGTTTGGACTTTGAAGAAGGGGACATTCCCTGAAAGCTTGTCCTCAAAATTGTATGTTAGTGCAAATAAAAAAAGTATCACGTCAGTACTCAATTGTTTCTGTGTAAGTGCACTAATACGGCTACAATCACCTCGTTCAATAGAGGAAACTCTTTATTTCCGGATTCCTCGTCCATCTCCAGGACACATCTAGTGATTATAAGATACAACACCCCAATGATACATTCTATTAGGATCTATGAGGAAAGTCACCCAATAGAATTCGATGGCTGATCCCTTCTATGGGGACACATTATATTGGGGTACATTCCAGGTCTATTCATCAGACATTATTACAGTCACATCATTATATTGGGGATAAATACCATGTTTTGGTCACTAGTAAATCTCGGGATCATTTCTTCCTACATTTCCTCAGAGATTTTTCCATCGATTTCCATCTCTTTCTATCTATTTGTAGATCAATTATTCATTTCTATATCTTTACACAATAAAATATTCCATACAACAAACTCCTTGTAAGTGTATGAATAATAAGGAATGAGAGCGATTGCCAATTATAATCCGATAGATAGATAGATAGATAGATAGATAGATAGATAGATAGATAATAGATAGATAGATAGATAGATAGATAGATAATAGATAGATAGATAGATAGATAATAGATAATAGATAGATAGATAATAGATAATAGATAGATAGATAGATAGATAGATAGATAGATAGATAGATAGATAGATAGATAGATAGATAGATAGATAGATAGATAGATAGATAGATAGATAGATAGATAATAGATATAGATAGATAGATAGATAGATAGATAGATAATAGATAGATAATAGATAATAGATAGATAGATAGATAGATAGATAGATAGATAGATAGATAGATAGATAGATAGATAGATAGATAGATAGATAGATAGATAGATAGATAGATGATAGATGATAGATGATAGATATAGATAGATAGATAGATAGATAGATAGATAGATAGATAGATAGATAGATAGATAGATAGATAGATAGATAGATAGATAGATAGATAGATAGATAGATGATAGATAGATAGATAGATAGATAGATAGATAGATAGATAGATAGATAGATAATAGATAGATAGATAGATAGATAGATAGATAGATAGATAATAGATAGATAGATAGATAGATAGATAGATAGATAATAGATAGATAGATAATAGATAGATAGATAATAGATAGATAGATAGATAGATAATAGATAGATAGATAGATAGATAGATAGATAGATAGATAGATAATAGATAGATAGATAGATAGATAGATAGATAGATAGATAGATAGATAATAGATAGATAATAGATAGATAGATAATAGATAGATAGATAATAGATAGATAGATAGATAGATAGATAGATAGATAGATAGATAATAGATAGATAATAGATAGATAGATAGATAGATAGATAGATAGATAGATAGATAGATAGATAGATAATAGATAGATAATAGATAGATAATAGATAGATAGATAATAGATAGATAGATAGATAGATAGATAGATAGATAGATAGATAGATAGATAGATAATAGATAGATAGATAGATAGATAGATAGATAGATAGATAGATAGATAGATAGATAGATAGATAGATAGATAGATAGATAGATAGATAGATAGATAGATAGATAGATAGATAGATAGATAGATGTGTTCTTAAAGGGCCAGTACCCCTCTATCTGTACTGCCCACACTGGGTCCCCTCAGAAGCCACGCCCCTAATATGACATCACAGCTCGAACACAGACAATAAGTCATGTTACTCTATACAATTCTTCACCATCCCATCTCGCCATACACAGTACTCATGTAGTGGGAGGAGCCTCAGGAAATAATGCCCTGCCCCCTCTTTAGGCGACATAAGAGCCGTACACCCCCACTTATACTTTCCTTTGTTGTTGCTCCATCAAGACCCTCCATAGACCCCCAGTCTCTGTGATCTTCTCCCAGCATACAGTGTTCAGGCCTGAGCAGCCAATTAGCAGGCTTCCATACGGTCACATGATGGAGGGGTGACATCATCAATCCTGAGATTACCCACCATGTATCTTACATGGGTTAGGACTCGGACAGAGGAACCGAGTGATGGGGGAGCGATGAGAGTGGATAGAAGTGGGTTGGGGGCGGTTATTGCCTTGCATGCGCCAATGACAGGGGCTCTTTAAGGTCATTTGGGCCCCAAAAGAACCTGACACTTATAGGGACCTTACATAATGGGACATATTTGGGCCCCCAGGCGGTGCTGAGACAATGCTAAAAATACAACATGTTCCCCCCATGATCTGTGAGCTACTTCAGCACCATAGGTTACAGGCCCTGCCCTTTTCTGTGCCCCACCTCTTGATGGACCACCCAAGGTGGCCATCTCATAACCAAACTTTTTGACCTTACAAAATATATGGGGGCCACCAATGTTCTATTACCCAGATTCCTGGAAATGGGACCTATTTGTGGGCCCCAGACAATGTCACATACTTTAGGCCCCCCGGGCCATGTGACAGATTAACCCCGTGTTCTCCTCTCTCCCATCTGATTGGGGCAGCAGTGCAGAGTGTGAGAGCCGGAGCAAACAATCAGAGAGGGGAGTGCAGGCAGCACTGTGATGTCTATTACTGATCAGCATGTTCCCCGCTCTCACCCTCTTCATCTTCCCGTCTATTCTACATATTAGCAGCCTGATGTATGACGGCTCTCTGTAGAATATCGTCTTCTCTGGGGGGGAAGATGAGGAGGGTGAGAGCGGAGAACACGCTGCACAGCAACATCCATCTCAGTGCTGCTTCCACTGACACCGACACCCACACTGCTCCAATTCTAGGAAGGAGACGTTCTATTACAGTCCATGCCAAGACAAAGACTTGATTTCTAGTTGTGGATGGTGTGGGGAAGGAGGAGAACCCCGGCTGGCTTTTCCTACTATAGGGGGCTCTGGGACAAGGAGTGAGGGCCAATCTGTACCAGGGACACAGACATAGAAAGATCTGACAGGGGCCCCAAACCTTCCCCTTCTTTACTCCACTAAACATAGGATTCTTATTTCACTCTGTGTTTCTGTTGAAGAGTTCCCCTCATTTCCTGTCTAGGAAAATGTCACCGAGACAGGAAGTGAGGAGAAACCTCTCTAATGGAGCCCCAGATAGGAAACACCTGACCGGGGATCTAATCCTGACCCACTCGGCCTACAAACTAAGTCTTCAGTCCCACTGGATCCCACTTTGTAATCTGGAAACGTCACTTGAAGTCGCTCGATTCCAAAGTCGGATGTCAGTGTGACTTCAGGTGCGACTTGCAGGACATCTGTGTGACTTTATATACAAGTCTATGCAAGTCGCAGCTGAACTTGGAAAAAGTAGTGCAGGAAGAACTTTCATAATCGGTGCGACTCGGATGGAGGGGGATTTGTACCGGTATGACCGCTTCCATTGTGGACAATAGAGTGCGACTTGTCATGTGATGAGAAACTATCAACTCACATGACGAGTCGCACCGCTGTGACCGGGGACTAAGAAACACAGTCTGGGCTCTCTGGTACATCAGATTATTTCTTTCAGTAGTAAATCTGTAGAAGACGTCTTCATATATTTCCTCTCAGATTGTTACATTTATTTCCATCTCTATGTAGTATAGATTGTATGGAGGAGGGGGGGGCAGGGGCAGAGAGGAGGGGGAGGGGCAGAGAGAAGAGGGAGGGGAGAGAGTGGAGAGGAGGCCCCATGCTATCCCATCACAGTGATAGTACCCCACCCTCTATTTCTGATCATGATGCCACCCCACACAGAGGGACCACTTGGAGGGAGTGGAAGGGAGAAGGGGGAAGGGCAGAGAGGAGAGGTGACCCTATCCTATCCCATCACAGTGACCACACCCCACCCTTAAGTTTGATCATGGTGCCACCCCACAGAGAGGGACCACTTGGGGGGAGGGGAAGGGAGGAGAGGGAGGGGCAGAGAGAAGGCAAGAGGAGATGACTGATGTTGCACACTGTGATGACGTTCCACCTAAAATTTATAATGCATTATGTAAGATTGTTATGGGATAGATAGATAGATGGATGGATGGATAGATTGATCGCATCATCATCATCACTGACCATTAGGACCAATGTTATTGTGACTCCAGTAATTGGACAGAAATTCTACCCAATCACAGAGATCGATGACAGAGGAGAAATCTCATATTTATATATAGTACAAAAAGTTGCAGGAAGCCCCGCCCACCTCTATATACTTTTGGATGAATATTAAATTAATTTCAATTGTTCATCTGACATCACCAGGCTGTGGGCAGAGTTCTCACATCTCCCCCCTCCCCCCACCTATCTTTATACAACCTCTCCATACATATACCCCAGCATGGAGGGGCTCAGTGAAGGTGGTGGTGAAGGTGTGGAGGTGTCGGATCGGGTCACACAGGTCATAGAAGGAGATCCGCCCGGCCTCATAATCCAGATATATCCTGACTCTGTTACTGGAGGGATTGGGGGGTAATGGGATCCTATCACCATCATGCGTCACTGAATACTGATCACCAGACCTGCCCAAACCCCAGGACTTGTTATTCCATCCAATGGCTGACTCCCCTCCTCTCCGGTCTATACTGGGGTAACACATCCCGACTCTCCAGCTCTCTGACCCCCCCGACTTCCACTTCCCAGTAATGTCTCCCTGAGGAGAACCTCTGACTGCTCATCACCTGAGACCAAATCTGGAATCTCTCTGGTGTTTCTGGGCGATTCTGGTTCCTATCTGACCTGGACACAGTTTTCCCGCCATCTGATATCTGTAGATCATTATTAGCTGTGTTTTCATCCAGTAATATGTCTGCAGCCCCCTGTATATAGAAGGATACATTTACCCCTGTTATTATATCAGATAAACCTGTGTGTAAGACCCCCACCACATCCAGCCTCCCTCCATCATGGAGGAGTTCCTCATGTCTCTCTCTGTCCTCATTATCTCCATCCTCAGTATCACACAAGTCACCTGTGTCTGATTCCTCATTATCTCCATCCTCAGTATCACACAAGTCACCTGTGTCTGATTCCTGTAGGACAGTCAGTGGATCCGTCATGTTACACATCTCCTCAATGTCACGCATCTTCCTGGACAGCTCCTCCTTCTTTATTTCCAGATCCCGGATGAAGATGGAGACCCGCTCTGCCCTCCCGGAGATGTCCCTCAGGACTCTCTTCTCCAGGTCTTCCAGACGTCTCCTGAGGTCTCTAAACAGGGCATTGGCTCTTTCGGTGTCACCAGCTGCTTCTTCTTCTACTTTCCTCCTGTGTTCCTGCAGACTCTGGACTCTTTCCTCCATCTCCTCTCTCTTTGTCAGAAGTTTCTGAAGAACATTCCTCAGTGTCTCCTTCTTCTTCTCAGAAGCCTCGTCCAGTGACATCATCTCATGTCCTTTATGTCCTCCAATCACATAACAAGACATACAGGCAAAGGTCCTATCCTCAGTGCAGAAATACTTCAAGACTTCCAAATGGACAGAGCATTTCCTGCTCTCCATGGACAAGGTGGGGTCACATAAGATGTGTTCTGGGGACTTTTTGTGGACTTTCAGGTGTTTATCACACAGAGAAACCTCACAGTGTAGACAGGATCTAACAGCAGGTACAGAAGAGTCCACACAGTAAGTACAGAAGACCCCGGAGTCCTCCTGACCTGGCTGAGCAGATGAGAAATTCTCCACTATGTTACGTAGTTTCATGTTCTTCTGCAGTGTAGGACGACCCGGAAACGTCTCTCTGCAGTCAGGACAGGAATATCCTCCAGACCCTCCATGTACATCAATCACACGATCAATACAGACCCGGCAGAAGCAGTGTCCACATTTCAGGGTCACAGGATCGGTATAAATGTTCAGACAGAGGGAACATTCCAGCTCAGCTCGCAGAGCAGAAGACGCCATCGCTGACAGCAGAAGAGAAATGAAACTGGAAGTCCCTGACAATGGAGAATAATACAGTGAGGGAGGGGTGACACCTTCCTACACAGGGTGAGGCTGGGCTGGGTGAGTATTATAGGACACGGAGATCAGAGTACAGAAAGAGGAGTTTGTTTGTTTGCAGCAATAACAGTAATCAAACCCCCCAACATTAGAAGACAGAGAACGAGGGAAAGACTGGTGTAGAGGAGAAATGTGCGGCACGAAGTGTATTGATGTGGAAGATAGATGAGGTTGCATCACCCTGATAAAGGATGTTCCTCTCCAGCATCTGACCTACTTCCACTGTACCCTGAGCATTCATGCTGCAGCCATTGCACCCCCAAAATCTGCCTTCACTATTAGATCACTCTGACACTCCCAGAATTAGGATGGACATCTTTAGATTGGGCTTAATTGACCTTTGAAATATTATTGGATACTATCCAAAATCCATATTTAGAAGCCTCAAATTGTGTTTTTTTTATTTACATATGATATTTGTAGCCGGGTTCAGGCTATATCGTTCGGCAATTCAGGGACATTTACTGCACAGACTGAGATTCCCTTTCTTCCCCTCTAGTGGGCAGTGCAGAGTAAACACATCATTTCCTGCTGGCAGAGAGGGAGGTGTGTCTGAAAAGCAGAGAATCTTGGGACTAGTAGTCACACAGTCTAGATACACTGTGTTCCTCAGAATTATCTGGACTACAAATATCAGAAGGTAGGGAACCAAAGAGGATTCTGGGTGGGAGATATATTCCCTTACTGCAGCCATGAGGGTAGTGTGACTTTTCCCCTGAAGGACTGGGCCTCCGCTTCCCGGGAATCGGGTCGGCACACACCGGGCATCTTGCAGACATCATTATCCATGGTCTGATGACTGGTCAGGAGGCAATCCTGTACCATTCTGCTGTGCCAGGAGCCTGATCTTCCACAGTGGATTTCGGTTGTGACATCTCCCATGGGTCTGCTGAGCGGGTGCAAGCCCACCAATCCATTCTGTTACAGTATAGACACTGCATGCCAACGTTTTTTCTCTTCTTTACCTAATTGAAGGTTTCTATTAGGAATACCATCTGATATACACACCTCAAATTCCTCATGCAGACCCCCTGCCAGGTGGCCTTAATGACTCTCTCCACCAGGTACCTATCCCACCCTTGGAAACAAAAGAAATGTTAATGAGCAACTCACACCTCAGACCTCTCCCACCCTTGGAAACAAAAGATATGTTAATGACAATTCGCACCTCAAATTCCTCATGAAGACCCCCTGCCAGGTGACCTTAATGACTCCCTCCACCAGGCACCTTTCCCACCCTTGGAAACAAAAGAAATGTTAATGAGCAACTCACACCTCAGCTAATCTCCACACATACTGCTGTCTCTGCTTCTACTCTCTGTATTTCTCTGAAACTGTCTGAAATAGTTAACAATTTACCACTTTTCAGTGCATTCTGGGCATTTGGGAGGTTCTCCTGTGCTTATCTTTAAAAAAAAGCTTCTAAACGCAACCCACATAAAAACACATAAATGCGTTATGCAAACGAGGCTAAACAGATGTTTTTTAACCTACGTTTTCCAGCAGTCAGTTTACTCTCATATTTAATAATGTATTCCAAAAAGGAAAGAGCCATCAAACTTCAACTGTGCATTTTGGGCGCAGTGCCCATAGATGCCAGGATTTATAGAATTTATGATATGAAAAGTGGGAGAAGGTGAATTTTCTCTCCATGTCACACTGGAAATTAAGATTGGTGACCACTTTTGTTAGGGATGGGGATTCTGTGGTTTTCCATAGGCCCTTTATGTTGTTTTATGGCTGCATAAAGGAGGTGCATTATGATATTACGATGTTCTGGGGAGAATCTGTCTATACCTATATGAAGGATCTCTAGATCCGGGCTAGGGAGTATTACAGACCCCGAGATTTCTGAGAATAGATTGAACAAACTATTCCAGAATGATCTGATAGATTTACATGACCACAGGATATGAAAAAGGGATCCTGTTTCTCCACATTGTCGCCAGCATTGTGAGGAGGTTGTAAATTCTGGATAATTTATTTGGGGTTAGGTACCATTGGTGAAGTAGTTTGATGTAGGATTCCCAATGTGTGGCACAGCGGGAGGCTTTATAAGTGATGGTAAGTGATCTGCCATGAATGGTCTGAGAGCTTTTGGGAAAAGAGGGTTTCCCAGCTAATGATGTTGTTCTGAAGCTGTTTAGCATCTCGGGTAAGTGAGGATATACCTTTACCAGGATATTTGGATCTATTTAAAAACTGAAATGCTGAGGCAGGGAGTGTAGTAGAATACGGGTGATTGTTGGATTTCAAACAATGTGATATTTGGAGAAATGTATATTTGTCTTTGGATGATAATGGAAATTTCCATTGCAGGTGGTGAAAGGAGACCAAAGTTTGGTGATCATAAAGATCTGAAATGAGGGAGACATCTAGCTGTTCCCAAGAAGTTAAGGCAACGCCTGGGATTAGAGTGGTGAGAGCCTTGAGGGGAATATAAATCTTGTTGGATTTGGGAAGGGGGAGGGATAATAGGTTTAACCAAGCATCAATCAAGGCCTTGATACAGGGATGTGTACTTGTTGGAGGCTTTTATCTGTGGATGAGAGAAGAAGGCATGATTGCGGTGTACTAGGGAAAAATATAAGAGTTTCTAGAAGAGACCAGTTTTTTTGTGCAGATGGATGCCACCAGAAGTAAGTTTGATTGAGTAGAGTAGCTAGGTAATGTGTGTAGGTGAGGGAGGTTTGTACCTCCTTTGGAGCATGGACAAATGAGTAGGTTATTGGAGCACCTAGGTCTTTTAAATTCCCATAGGATTTGGATTCTCATTGGGAAAAACATCTCTGTGTTACGTGAAAGAATTTCATAGGTATGGATATGGGAAGGGTTCTTAATATATACAGGATTTTGGAGAGAATAATAATTTTTTGGGCCATTTTGGACAAGCCAAACGTTCGAAGGGAGGATATCTCTTTGCGGAGGTTTTGTAGGAATGTTTTGTGATTGTAATCATATAGCTGGGAGGGAGATGGGGTCAAATGAATTCCGAGGTATGGTATTGGTATGGTATGGTATGGTATGGTATGGTATTGATTGCTTCGCCCATATTTAAGGAAAGTCTTGTGATAAATGGAGTTGGATCTTTTTAGGGGTATATAAGTTGAGAATTAGGGATTTGGCTTCGTTGAGCTTGTAATACGAGATGTTGGCATATTGAGTGAGGAGATCTCTTATTTTATATAAGGAATCGGCAGGATTTGTGACCATTAAGATGATATCACCAGCAAATAGGCTTATATTGGATTCATATTCATGGAGTTTTATGCCTGTAACTGAGGGGTCTTATTTTTGCAGCAAGAGGTTCTACTAAGAGTGCAAATATTAGAGGGGATAAGGGGCACCCCTGTCTGGTTCCATTAGAAATATCAAATGGACGCGATAGTATATATCATCTGTCAGAACTCTAGCTGATGGGGAAGAATAGACACATTATTGCTGATTGTAACCATCCTGTAATACCATATTTTTGTAGAACTGTTTGCTTGAATCCCCAGTGGTCCCGATCAAATGCCTTCTCTGCGTCTAAAGAAAAGAGCAGAGAAGGCACTTGATGGTTTTGCAAGTTATGTAGTAGTGAGATTAGGCTCCTGGTGGCGTCTGGGGCTTGTCGTCCCGATAAAAACCTACCTGGTCTGGATGGATAAGAGTGGTTAACATGAGGAGTAGTCTGTGAGCTAAGAGTTTGGTGAACAATTTAACATCTGTATTCATGAGGGATATGGGTCTGTCATTTTGAACTGTTTGTGGATCTGTTCCCGGTTTGGGTATGGTCGTAATATTGGATTGTAGC